TCTGTTCATATTATACCATCAAGAGATCTAACGGCAATTTGTAGCCGGCATTTCCCAATGTCTAGCTGAGTTGCTACCTTCTGATGCTAGACAGTCTATTCAGAAATTAAGGTAGATTCAATTTAATGCTGTTTGTAGGTGAATGTTGTTCTATTAAATACGAAAACATCAAGAAAGCATGCAAATTTAAAGACAGTAGTCATTTGCAGTGATGCACCACATTACACTAGACAAAAGAGATCGTAATGTAGTTTTACTATTGAGATATTAACAACTGCACATACAATATACGATGGCAGCAATGAATTGTAACTATTTACTTGGAAGTATTTAACTGCTAAAGAACATTTTATTCTCAGAAACTTATTATCGTGCCACAGTTAAATTAGATGACCAAATAGGCATCATTGGTGTGTAACGCAGATATTGTTCGCCAACTTTGTCCCATAACACTTAAGGAACACCTACAGGATACTTGCTTACCCAACCACATCCAGTAAGACAGTGATCATATAAGTACCACAGTATGAGATTATTATACTTAAAATAAAACAGCTGACCTCCAGTGTGGAGCACATATAATTGTATGTCTGATAATAACCCTGTTATCATTTACGTTTAATTTAGAATTTAACTCAACACCTTCGAACAGTGAATTTCAATGCCTTTTGGATCCTTATTAAAAACCTATGAATTCATAGTGTTCCACTGTTGTTGCTGACAAATAGGAAATTTATAGGATACCGTATAGTATCTGTTTGTACGGTATATGCAAATGGCTGGGATGCAGTCCTGCTCAATAAAATATTGCAGCAGCTCTCATCATTTTTTATAATCTGGAGAATTTTTAACTTTATGGTATGATATATAGTGGATAATGATATATTTACGATTTGTAATATGCTTTATCTCCCAGTGTCCATTGTATATTCTGGATAATAGATGCCCTCATTTGAAAACATCCATTGATACAGATAATGTCATATGCTATTTCTCAAGGAACCCCATTCTTATAATCTGCTTTACTTAATACTATTTTTGCTACATTTTATTGGAATGTCATGTGTCTAAACATGTCATCTTTCGCATACATTGCTTTGAGTCATATCTATCGATCACTGGGATTGAAGTAAATGAGGCCGTCCATATGACTGCATGTCTTTCCCGAACACTGAGTTACGTGATCACTTAGAATTTCATATGACATTTTTAAATATAAGTTCTGAATAACTTATCATTAAATGTTGTTTTTTATGACTTTTATTAGTTCAAAAGTTGTCATACTTTATTTCACTCAAGAACTAAAGTTGGCTATTTCTGCAAAAATATAGAAAAAATCATATTTTTTTGAAAACTTCCTTTCTTGTTGAAAAATAAATAAAGCTTGTCTCATATTACACAGTTAGTAAAAGTATACTAGGTAGCGGAGAAAATTAACTGTAACGAAAACTCAGCTCGTACACACACAAAAGTGGAATATATGCGCACTACACTATTTCGTATTATACTATTATCCAACATATTACAAAAATGGATCGATCTGTTTGTTAAATGTATACTATGGGGCATAATCAGCCAGTTATTTCAAATGGTATCAACTGATATACAGGGAAGATATCGTTACCACTTACTAATAAAATATTTTTTACCTGGATAGTGACAAGTTTACATGGTTAAAACAATGACCTATTCTTATTTCTAATCTTCGAAGACAATGTCTTTGCCTTGTCTACAAATAACACACAAGTGTATATACAAGAAGGTAACTCAACAATCACATGCTCAAACAAACACCAGGTAAACAGCCTCATGTGTAATGGTATTCAGTGAATCAATGTATAAAGTAACTAACAGCCTCACAGTCGACAGTTCGCTACTTTGACAAATAAATCGTACAAATGTTTGATAAGAAACACTGACAAAGTACAATCATTTTCTTTTTAACTATTCGCATTTTCTAACAGCTTTTAAGATCAACATCGACTATTAAACAGTCAAGTTAATGCAAAAGCTCTTCTTTGTAATACAATTCCTATAATATAAAGAATGAATAGGTAAACCCAGAAAATTGCATTAGGCGTAGATACAGTACCATGACAGTTCATCTTTTTCAAAAAAAGACGTTTTTATTATATAAACATGTAGCTTGTGAAAAGCAAGATAAAGATTGAGAGCTTATCGAGAAGAATTTACATGCTAGTGACTACCTGACACTTTTAAAAGGCCCAAAACAGAAAGCTATGATAGTCGGAAAGCTTATGTTTGTTGCATTGAGAGAAGGCTTCAGGTCAACGAAATAGGTTAGCGACATGTTAAAAGTCACAAGACCTATATCAAAAGAAGGATTTCCTACAAGACTGGAATAAATCTGCTTTGAGAAACGTTCTGTTGAAGTCAAATTAGGTTCTTCTCCAGAGACAGAGGGAGATTCAGTTGTCTATAAACCTGGTAGGGCTCTTACTAGGTATATTGAAAACCACAATATACTGCCATAATCTACTACAAAGATTATTTTTTTAATTTTCATTCACGTTCCCCAGTGGAACATAGGGCTTCAAGCTAGTGGCTTGAAGTTTCTGTAGCAGTGTTTAATTTTACAGGATGGGGTTGCTAGCCTCATGCCCAACCTTCCCTCTTAACCAGTTTTATTACTGGATAGGTGAGGTAAAGGAGTGAGTCGGATTTTGGTTGGCACAACGAAATGCCTAAGCATGAAAAAGTACTGTGTACCAAATTTCTAAGCGGGCTTCAGATGCTTGACACTGTATCAATTCCACGCTTATTGCCAGTGTTAATACCTTATGCTTCAGGATGTCATTCGGGAAGAGTGACCTGCGTTGGACATTCGAAACAGCCACTAAATGGCGAAGGTCAATGGAGCGCACAAATATTTTTGAGCATTTTCATCGTAGCACTGATGAGGTTAATCACCAAAAGTAGCCACTCTAATGTAATATCCATTAGGTTGGCTTTTGGGGAACATATGATTCCAACCACATACAGTCTTTTAGATTTCCTCATGAATATAAAACCACAATGAAATGAAGAACACATGATACTGATAGCAAAAGCTGAACGCACCATATATAGGGAGTGTTTGGTTCCTCCCACAGTGAATTCTAGTGACCGTGAAGTCTTGATATCTGCTAAACCATTGATGCTAAAGGACAGCTCGAATGATGTCAGTGTAATCCATCCTGGTGACGGTATAAGTTAAAAAATAACACTCATGTTGGCGAAAAATATATCGTCGTGTGGGATTTTACTGTCAAGAAGCAATGATAATCAAAATTTGTGCAACAGGATTCGTCCAACACAGTTAGGCAACCATACAGGTAGACCACTGTTGACTAACTGCCTAGAGGTATTGAGAAAGCCTGCCTTCAGAAATATCTGAGTGGCACTTGCCAGTACATGCGTATCTGAAGAAATGATGGTTGCCCTAGAGATGGAAAGTAGGAGGCTGCTAGGTGCACTATTGCAAGTCTTGACAGATAATTGGGTAACGCAAGAATTTTTGTGGGTTTTACTTATGTATGTATGCTGAAAGAGTTTCTTTATTGGATGTTCTGGAGAAGATCAGATTTCAGTTCTGAAGAAGTAAGCTTCCTACTATCTTCTACCGATAATGTCAACCTTTATAACTAACTTGATTAGTTTTATGAAGAAATACGGAAGTATTTCCTTCGCATTGAAAAAAACAGTAGGCTTTATAGTATGTAGTGCAGATGCCTGGCAATGTAAGTGGTGCGTAGAATACCTTGTATTTAAAATTCAAAATGGTCACAAATGCGTGTCTCTCGGTTTTGATATCTACAACTTCCTATTTATCCCATCAAGACTGGGGTAAGACTAACAGACACTGACCTCCATATAAAGTTTGAATACCATTCATATACATACAGTAGTGAAGTGAAAAATCGAAAGAGTTGTAGCTGCCTCTTTCCGTTTTATGGTCCAATTTCTATTTGAGTTTGGTGAATATTGCTTTTTAACTATTCCGAGAAGTGAGTGAGCGTATGGAAGCACGAAACGTTTCTGGCAACGGTAAAGAAATACCAGAAACACCAAATTCGAAAAACAGTGACAGTATGCATCAAGTCAAACACCACCAGTGGTCTTGATGATATTCTTTATTTGATCAGTGTTAGGGTTATAAATGTCATAAATGTACTTTAGTGTGGCAATGTAGGAATGTTTAATCTCACCAGCAGAGTTCATATCAATTAGAATATGCTGGAGTAGAGACAATTATTCCCAGAGGTTTTGGTGCATAAATAAAGTCTAATTGAATTTGAGATTTTTCCATCGATTGATTGGACAAAAGTGCTCTGTCTCAGGTTGACATGTCGGCTTCTTGTACAGATGCTTCAACGATATCTGGGCATTTAATTAGAATTTAATTTTTGGATGGTGACTAGCAGCGGAATCTACGATGCGCATTTCGTCCTATATGGGACATCGTCGAAGCATCTGCACAAGAAGCCGACATGTCAACCTGAGACCGAGCACTTCGTTCCAATCAGTCGACTGGAAAATCTAAAATTCAATTAAATTAATATGACCCGTTGCACAAGCGGTGGCTCTCGGGGATACCGCTTTGGCGTTTGAAACTAAGGGCACTGGGTTCGAGCCTCGGTGGGAACATCATCACTCACTGGGAAGTGCAGGTACATCCATGTGACGAGTACCAAACAGAACGAAATGCGCATCCTGGATTCCACTGCTGGTCATCATCCACAAATTAAATAAATGAAGTCTTCCTATAGATTTACGGTCCTACATATTGCTGATGATGAGGAGAAGAGTACCACAAATCTCAAGATTCAAACGCTCCAATGGGAATTTCTAAGTGGCCATGCTTACTGGAAGGAATTAATAGTAGAGTGACAACTGTTTACCTCAAATGTACATCACATGCTTATCAGAGAGAACAAAAAACGGCAAAAATTCATCTGAATCCAACAGTCAAAGTATGAGGAAGCATTCTAAATACTTACCCATCGATATAAATTAAAGTGCCTAAGCCAATGAATCACATCCCCATTTGTACAACAGAAATCTGTTCCATTGAACTGAGAGAAGGAAACATCCTGTAGAAAGCATCCAACAATCACTCAGAATCTAAGTTTATTTTGCATAGTCAGAGTTTCATTTCCATAAACAATTCTGAAGTACTGCAGCAAGTGAATAAACTGTATTACTAACAGTATATTATAAATGAACAGAAAAGTGCGTAATAGTAGCGATGAATAATACACACAGGAAGCAATGCTTACATCTTGTTCATGTTCTATGAAATGTGGCATTATTTCATATTCCACCGATCAAGCGATTATTACTTTTCCCTTAGGTTTCACTCAGAACTCAGTATTTCAGAAGCACATATCCACTTTGTTCTCTTCTCTGTGACCCTCCTTGGCTGCCCCATCGATTGATCACAGGCCTTCATATCCTCTTCCCACCATCTCCTTCATTCAGCCTCAAGTGTCCAACTCGTCATTTCCCACTCGAGTTCAACCCAAGCAATAGCCTTGCGTGCGATGTCATTCGACGGCCTCTTCAATGTGCATCTAATCCACCTCCATTTTATTCTGCATATTTTTTGAGCAATAGGTTTTTAGTTGTTATACTCCCATATTTTTTTCTTGCTAGTTCCTTCTGGCCATTTGATCTTCAATATAGTGCAAAGGCACCCTGTAATAAGTGTTACGTCTAATATTGCACCTATAAACACTAAATTTGTATATTATATTCCATTTTGCATTTCGTCTTAATTAGACCGTTTGTGCTTCATTGCACTACCGTACATATTCCTGCTTCACTGCACATTTTTGCTAAATGCAAGCCATTTTTGGGTTCAGTAATTGTATTCTTGGTGTTTGAATGCTGTATAACCTCCCATTTGAATAATAATAATCTTGTGGTCCTTCGACAGTCAGTCACTAATATAATTTTGTTTGGAAACATTTGGATTCGTTTTGGATTTGGTGAGGTCTTTTTGGAACAATTTGGTATTAATTCGGATTGCTCTCGAGGACTGCGAGTTTGTCTCTTCAAAGGATTACTTGTGCAGTGGCTTCAACGAAGTTCTTCAAGATACATTCGGATGTAGAAATAAAAGTCTGCAACCTACTGGAAGAGGAGCTGATTACCTAGTGGATTATAAGATTTTGGTTACAGTTAATACGTTTTGGATCAAATTGGTGTTATTTCTCAAGTCTGTGATTATTTTTACGGATTTAATTACATTAATAAATGATAACAAAAAACTAACTTGATACAATCCAGAGGTTAAAGATCTGAACTAAACTTAAAATAGCTGTCGAATCAAAACCACAGTCAGTCTTACTGGATGCCCTACTGATGAGCAATAATGCTCAGAATCATAAAATTGTAAGATGATTAACCATTTACTTCGAGTGATGGAGATAGAACTCAGGGAGCATTGGTACAAGGAGACATAACCATCGTCAGTTGTAAAAAGGTAACTACTCGGAACAATAGGCCAGAATTTTTTAAGGCTGGAAATTCAGCCATGAATTCAAAAGCGACATAGAGCCTGGGTTATCACAGTTTAAGAGGGGTTCAGTGATACCAGACAAAAATCCAAAGGGGATTCATTTACCGTATTAACGCTCATGAAAGATGAAAATTTTATTTAGGTATTTTGCTATTTTAGGTATTTTCATAGTACTTGTCATTTCAAATTATTTAGCATGGAAGTTTGCTCAATCTCGGTATTAAAACGATACAGACAACGACAAAAAACGAATATAAAATGTACACTTTATAGAACTCCATTATTTTGCTATGCTAAATCTTAAAATTTGATATCGTACTTCAAGTAACACACTTTTTGCTGCAAATTCAATTAAAATTATTGCAAAAATGCGAAAATCAACTCAGGCTATTATTTAGTTACAGAAGTGGCTTAAAGCACCAAACGAATATCTGGAAAAATAATAAGAAAGCTGAACGTGACGAGCAATGGATTTATCTGAAAAGGCTCTAACATATTTAAGCCATCTACACATTTCAAGCATTGACCACGTTTTCCTGTGGTTTGTAGCAGTAGTTAGTGAATTCACAGACTAATACATTCTCATTTTTACTCTCTCTTAATAATTTTCAGCCGAAATTTATTTTGGATGAAGCAAGTATGAATTTTAGCAGATGAATGGTTATTTTGTCTCAGGATTATGAACTTAAGTATACTTTAATTACCAATATCTGATTATTAACGTGAAAAACGCCCCAGTAAAAATACCTAAGTATCTCCATACCTAAATGAAAATCCCCTTTAACGTATGATTTTCTACCAGGAAATTACATTAGCCCCACACAGTGGTCAGCACTGTGTCATGTATCAAGATAGTTCAGTCGGATCCAGATATATCAAAGCCTAGCTATACCTGTGTATTGAAATGAAGAGTGAATGCCTATGGAAAACAGAGTTTCTTTCCGTCAATATTTACTTTGGAAAACCCTAACATAGTTCCTATATGCTTGAATGGAGAAAAATTGTGGAAATTATATGTTGTAAAGATAAAATATTCGACTTACGGGGTTGATTTTGGCAAGCTATACAACGTCCATTTATAATTGCTTCCAAAGAATAAGGTAAATTATTATTTTTCTCTTCCTGAATGAATCCCTCAGAACCTGAATTCTTCAAATGCTCAGCACACTTCAACACATATTCTGGAAGCTTAGTAGTCCATAGATCGTGTACAGACAAGCAGCTTGCTTTTGAAGGAGCTATCCATGCTTGTTTCTTGTCCGCAAACCTGGTCACCCTGAACCTTGACTGTGACGACAAAGCTTTAAGTTCATCTTCGGTAAGTTCTACTGGAGATTGAGCTGCACCGTTACTCTCTCTACTTTCTAAGAAAGACTTCGGGGAATGCCGCATTGATCGCCTCTTGAGTTCTGTTTCGCTTTTTGCATATTTCATCCGTTTCCTGGATTTTTTCATTACACTAAAGCTTCCTGTTTTTGTTTCAGAGTTTGCTGTTCCCAGATTGGGGGATGAATGGATTTTCTTAAGACCTGATTCAGAATTTGGTGAGATTCCTGCTTTTATCTTTTCGTGTCGTACACTCAATAACACAAATCCAGGTCTCGTACGACCCCGTATACTCTCAACTATGTCATTACTAGATTCAGGAGTAAACTCAAATGAGCCTCTCCGCACGCACTGATGTATATCTTTTATTGTTAGTGCCTGCGCAGTTGGACCACTCGCATTTGAGTCAGTATTTGATTGACTAACCGGAGATGTTTCTTCTTGTGTACCATCATGTTGGACAGTATACGGGTATAATACAATAGGCTGACCCGGACACTCTACAGTAACGGAACCTTTTTGGCTAGTATTGCTACTGTCATCCCTTGGGGTTATATGTAAGGAAAGACCACTTTCTCCTTCAAACTTGGCTTCAACTGGTACTAGAAATGTAGACATATCTGATTGTTCACTATTTACAGCCCAGTTTTGATTGGGACGCTCATTCAAGCCAAAATTTTGAACATTGCAAGGGAGCGGTTCTTGATTTCGAGACTGAATGTTCGACTGGCTTTGGAGTGGAATAGTACTTTTGAGCGTATTATAATATTGTGCAAGCTGCAGTTCAATCAGCTTCTGGAGCAACAGAAGTTGTAGGTGCCTTTGAGCATTGTAGTCTAAATCGCTTAAATTTTGACCTAAAACCTGATTTTGTACGCTGTGAAATACATTTTCTGAATTATCCTGAACATCCGGGATACTTGCGTGACCAAAATTATCATTTATACCGTCTGAATTTGGGAAAATAAACCCATGACATATTGGGCGACTGTAACTTTGTGGAAGTTCATTCTGTGTTTCACTGGAAACGCTTGCTGGTTGAAGTGATAGAGGAACATTTGTAGGATTTAAGGGCATGTATATCACTTCGTTGGTAGGGTTTAGAAGATTTGATGAGCATTCCAGTGGATATGCATTAAATGATGCATGATACGAAGTGTGAGACAGATTTTCTGTTTCTGAAGTGACTTCGGATTTTGGAGTTTCAAAATTATTTAAAGAAGAGCTTTGAGACGAAGCTGTCATCACAACATTTAAGCGAGATTGAATAACATATTTCGAACTTGCGCAAGAAAAATAAACTTCGTTCCCAAATGGAAAAAACAAAATTCATAGGTTTAATCATAGTTGTGAGCCATTTAATCTAATGTTTGACCCCTTAAATGTCGAAAATTAGCATCAATTATATAATTTGAGCATTTTATGTAAATAAATTGGTTCGTTAAGTTGAAATTCCAGTATGACGAATTTTGAGGAAACCGATTTAGTGTGAAACGTAAGCGCACCATCACAATTATCAATGCTAGTGTAGCGGTAAATAATTCCCCAAAATTATTGACCACAGCAGTCACTCACCCTTGGGTGCTGACCACCACTGTTTAAGTCGACTTGTTTAGCTGAAGGCTTCCGGTCAAGCATCCCCGCCATTTGGTACCCCGTCGTGTCACGTGCACGATCACTAGCTAGCTAAGCGTTCGTCTGACGGCTTGTTTTGGTCCCAAAATATATCACGTAGTTTGGACGATCAAATATTGGCTTTTGCTTTGCTTTTGGTACGCGAGAATAATAATTAGTAGTTGCTGAACAAGAGATTCCGTCAACCTCTAAACTGGTGAGCCCAACCGCGAACTTCATCCACGATAAATCCGCAGATAACCCCGGTGAGTTCGTTCCATTTTGTATTTGTTCTTGTACCATATATTATTCGACATAATTTTCGTCATGAGTGATCTTAGTCCCAAGGTCATTCGTATCCGCTCAACTCCTAAAACCATTCAGCTCGTACCATACTGGCCAGATAATGCTGAAACGTGGTTTCTGCTAGCTGAAGCAGATTTTTGTGAGCATGGGATAACCGATCAACGTTCACAGTTACTTGCAGTTATTCACGCCCTACCGCGGGAATTCAGCAAGTACGTAACATCACAGATGTTGAGTCCCGAGGTAAGTAACTCGTACGAGTTGCTCAAAGCATCCCTCCTCAGGAGAAACGTTCTCACGGACCGACAACGTCTAGATGAATTATTTCGTAACATCGAGTTAGGAGATCAGTCAGCCGTGAGCATGCTGACAAGAATGAAGAAGTTATTGGCCAAAGTCAGTTCGACGAAGGACTATTTAGAGAACTCTTCTTATCCAAGCTGCCACAGTCTGTACAGACCGTACTTGTGACACTTCAGGGTACTGTAATAGAACTTAGCTATTACTGCAGATAGATTCTAGAAATAACTAAACGGTCAGTTCCCGAAATATGCTCGATGACTAAGCAGACTTCGAGTAAGGATCCTGCAATGATAGAGTTATGCAACTCCATCCAGCAGATGTTTAGGTCGAACATGCATTCTAACTCCTCCGACCGTCGTCCTAAATCTCCTCAACGCAGGAACTCACGTGGTCGATCTAAGTCCAAACCACGTTCACTGAAAAACCCTGACTGGTGCTGGTACCACAACACCTATGGCCAAGAAGCGAAGTGTTGCCGTAAGCCTTGTAACTTCGGAAATGTCTCAAAGTCTGTGGGAAACTATCCCGCCGGCACGCGTTAGCGGCAACCGTCGCCGGTGGCACTAGCCGCCTACTTTACATCCATGATGTGATAAGCCAGACTCGATACTTAGTCGACACAGGCGCCGAAGTCAGCGTCCTTCCTGCTACAGCAGCAGATCGACAGAAGGAACCTACCTTCAACTTACAGGCTGCAAATGGAAAACCAATCGCAACCTTTGGTAGGAAATACGTCTATCTGAACGTAGGTTTACGCAAACCTATTCGGTGGATTTTCCTTCTCGCTGACGTTACAATGCCCATCATTGGCACGGACCTACTTAATCATCATGATTTACTCGTAGACGTCCGCCGAAAACGACTGATTGACAATACTACTAGTCTGTCTATCAAAGGCATCAGCTACATAGGCCCTAGTTGTCACCCGTTAAGATAAAGGCAATCTTGATCCAACTTTTCAACCTATTGTTGACAAGTATCCGGAACTTAATTGCCCGTCGAACGACCTACCGTGCATAACCAGCAATGTTATGCACCACATCATTACCACAGGACAACCTGTGACATCTAAAGCACGACGATTAGCTCCTGACAAACTGAGAATCGCCAGGAATGAATTTGACCATATGCTTACCCTTGGCATCATTCGACCTTCGAATAGCCCATGGGCATCCCCACTTCATATGGTTCCGAAAAAGGATAGCAATGATTGGCGACCCACCGGTGATTACCGGCGAGTGAATGCCAAAACAACCCCTGATTGCTACCCGTTGCCTCATATACACGACTTGACGGCAACCTTATCCGGCGCGACTATATTCTCCAAAATCGACTTGGTTAAAGCGTATAACCAAATCCCGATGGCAACAGAAGATATCCCGAAAACGGCTATCATTACGCCTTTCGGACTTTTTGAATTTCTACGTATGCCATTCGGTCTCGGAATGCAGCCCAAACATTCCAACGCTTCATTGACGAAGTATTTCGCGGTCTCGACTTTGTATACGCATACTTAGACGACTGCCTCATTGCCAGTCCAGACAAGGAAACTCACCTTAGGCACTTGGACTTGGCATTTGACAGGTTACGCCAACATGGTGTTACCATTAATATTCAAAAGTGTCAAATCGGTGTTGACTCACTCGACTTCCTGGGTCACACTATTGACTGCAAGGGCATTCGCCCACTGGCTACTAAGGTCGAGGCTATACTGAACTTTCCAGAGCCACAGACGGTGAAAAGTCTCCGCACTTTTAACGGCTTAGTAAGTTATTATCGACGCTTTATTCCCAACTGTGCCTCTTGATTCAGCCATTGACAGACCTCCTTCGAGGGAATAACAAGTCCATAGAACTTGACGCGTCTGCTCGAAATGCTTTTACCCAGATTAAAAAAGCTATTGCGAATGCCACACTTCTGATGTATCAGGATCCAACGGCACCGTTAAGTATCTCGGTTGATGCATCAAACACTGCAATCGGCGCAGTTCTACAACAGCTAGTTGACAAAGAGTGGCAACCACTCGCCTTTTTCTCGAGGCGCCTTCAATTAGCTGAAACGAAGTACAGCACATTCGGCAGAGAACTTCTGGCTATGTACTGTGCTATACGACATTTTAGACATTCGGTAGAGGGTCGTGAATTCATAATTTTTACTGATCACAAACCTCTGACGTACTCTCTGAACTCACCTTCAGATAAGTATTCACCCAGGGAATCACGACAACTGGATTACGTTCACAGTTTACATCAGATATTCGCCATGTATCCGGAGTAAACAACACTGTGGCAGATGCCTTGTCGCGCGTTTGTTCCCTCACCCAAATCGACGGCATAGACCTTGTAAAACTGGCTCGTCTTCAAAAAGAAGATACCGAGCTTCAACATGAGTTGTCGAAAACAACTCTACAATTAGCTGAGAAACCCTTAGGTATGGGAAGAGATACTATTCTATGTGACATTTCCACGAGTACTCCTCGCCCCATCGTGCCTAAAAGTTATCGCCGTAACGTCTTCAATACGTTGCATGGCTTATCTCACCCAGGTATTCGAACTACTGTCAAGCTCGTAACTAGTCGGTTTTGTTGGCCTGGCATTAATAAAGAAGTAAGGGAATGGGCACACACGTGCTTAGCTTGTCAAAAGTGCAAGGTGATAAGACACACCAAAAGCCCACTTGGCACCTTTCTTCTCCCTGACGCTCGTTTTGAACACGTCCATATAGATTTGGTTGGACCCCTTCCTGAATCCATGGATATACCTATATTTTAACTTGCATCGATCGATTCACACGATGGCCGGAAGCAGTACCCATCAAGGACGTATCTGCTGAAACAGTCGCACGCGTCTTCGTAGAAAGATGGATCGCTAACTTTGGATGCCCATCTTCCATAACAACTGATCGCGGGCGGCAATTCGAAAGTGGCTTATTCTTCGCCCTGACTAAAATCATAGGTTGCATGCGTTTTCGAACAACAGCCTACCATCCTCAAGCTAATGGTATGGTAGAACGTCTACACAGACAGCTGAAAGCTGGTCTGTCAGCTGCAAACACACCCATTGGACTGAATCCCTTCCGTTAGTTCTCCTAGGGATACGAAACGCCTTGAAAACCGATGCTGGTTGTACTAGCGCCGAGCTAGTATATGGCACGACACTACGACTGCCTGGTGAATTTGTTTCTCCCTCGAGCTTCCCACCAGTGGTAGATCACGCTTCATACGTCAGCAGGCTTACAAACGCAATGCGTTCAGTTAAACCTGCTCCCCTTCGTCCACAGTCCATTGATGTTTTCGTTCATCCGTGTTTGAAAACTTCTTCACATGTATTTGTTCGTCGCGACTCTGTGCGCAGACCCCTGGAACCTCCATACGACGGACCTTATAAAGTAATTAAACGTTCTGATAAATTCTTTGTCTTGGACAAAAAAGGCCGCGAGGACACCGTCAGCATTGACCGTCTGAAACCGGCTTACTTGGAGGGTAATCCTATTAGCATAGAGCTCAACGTACCCCATAATCCACAAGTAACAGAAGATCGTTTAGACATCGATGAAGTCACTAGCACAGCGACAGCTACCGAACCTTCTATCGAGCCCCCTAAGAAAACCCGTTCTGGACGCACCGTAAGGTTCCCAGAATATCTTCACACTTATTTAACATAACGAAGTCGTGTGATTCACGCAACTCATCCGTTTGTGGTACTAATTATTTTTTAGACGTATCAATTTTTTTATATATAGTATCACTAAACGCAAGTAAAATGTTTTTTCAACAGTACATGTAACATGCACAAAAAAAAATTAATTAGATGTATTTTTTTCGATGTTCTGAACTTAGCATTATTTTACTGTATAGTAAATGCACATCATTTTTAAAAAAAAGCTGATTTGGTACATTTTCCTCGACATGGTTCTTAGCGTTCTTGTTTTCTTTTCCAGGTGCGACGGGCACTGGACAGGAAACAAACGAAGCACGGGACCGAACGAACAACAACAAGGAAGCTATGTACAAACACCCTATTAGCATAGGCAGACAAACCAGTAGGCATCCCACCAAGCCGCTCGGAAGATTTTTTTC